CAGGATGCTTGTCTAGGTACTTGCTCGAATGTGTTTGAACATGGGTCCTCTCGGATGAAAAGCTAGGTCACAGGAGCAAAAAATAGAAAAACCTTATTAACTCTCTAGTGATCATATTTTAACTTAATTGTCATCAAACTTGGTCAAAATGCTTGTCTAGGTAACTGTCTGGATAAAATTAAACATGGGTCATCTGGGATGAAAAGCTAGGTCACAGGAGCACAAAATAGAAAAATCTTGTTTACACTCTAGTGGCTACTATCTTGATCCAAATATCTTGGAAATTTGTCTGAAAGTTAGTTTTTATGATTTCTACGTCAAGTTCGAATATGGGTTACAACGGGTCAAAAACTTGGTCATACCGCCCAAATATAGAAACACTTTGTAAACACTCAATTGGTCACATATTTGACTTAATCACCATCAAACTTGGTCAGGATGCTTGTCTAGGAAATTGCTCGGGTGAGTTTAAACATGGGTCATCTCGGATGAAAAACTATGTCATTGGAGCTAAAAATAGAAAAACATTGTTAACACTCTAGTGGTCACATTTTTTACTCAATTGTCATCAAACTTAGTCGGGACGGTTGTCCAGGTAATTGCTCGAAGGTTTTTGAACATAGGTTATCTCAGATAAAAAACTAGGCCACCGGAGCTTAAAATAGGAAAACCTTGTTAACACTCTAGTGGCTACTGTTTTGATCAAAATATCCTGCAAATTAGTCTGAAAGTTTGTTTAAATGGTTTCTATGTTAATTTCGAATATGGGTCACCTTGTGTCAAAAACTTGGTCACACCGCCCAAATATAGAAAATTCTTGTTAACACTCTAGTGGTCACATTTTTACCTCAATTGTCATCAAACTTGGTCAGGATGCTTGTCTATGTATTTGATCGGATAACTTATAACATGGGTCATCTCGGATGAAAAACTAGGTCACAGGAGCTAAAAATAGAAAAATCTTGTTAACACTGTAGTGGCTTCTGTTTTGATCCAAATATCCTGGAATTTTGGTCTGAAAGTTTGTTTTGATGATTTCTGGGTCATGTTCAAATATAGGTCACTTGGGGTTAAAAACTAGGTCACACTGCTCAAATATGGATAATCCTTGTTAACGATCTAGTGGTAACATTTTTGACTCACCTGTCATGAAACTTGGTCAGAATGCTTGTCTTAGTAATTGTTCGGATAAGTTTGACGAGTCAGGTGAGCGATCTAGTGTCATCTTGGCCCTCTTGTTTAATGATGCTATTTTAATGTATATGGATTTTAAACATGGTTCACTAAACGTCTGAGCAAACAAGTGACAGCTGAATCGCACTTAACTGTTCTTGTAACTTATGGGATATCAACTTGTTAAAAAGGCGAGCACTTGTTAAATCTGGGCGTAATGTTAAGTAATAATTTTGACACATCCGGGGTAGATGTGGATTGTTCAATTTTGGGATTTCAAATGACAGAAGCTTGTTTTAATATGTAAGAGGGTTTAAGTTACGAGGATTTAAAACGTTTGAAAGAGCAACACTTTGTCAGATATGTTTGTTGGCAATGTAGCAATATCCAAATATGATCATTGATACTGCGACAGAAGCTGAGAAAATGACGTCTACGTCATCTATGCAAACACATTATTCAGCTAATGCAAGAAGAAATAAATCATTATGTAGCACTAAACAGACGAATAATGATAGCCATATATACAAACGTGTTGCTTGGAAAAGCTCGAATAAATGGACCTCTATACTTCTTCACACTTTATCGTTCCTTTATTCGTTCCCATTCCGATTTCTTTATTTTCAAGGTGATTGAAAAAGAAATATTTAGAAAACAGTTTTTAAGGATATAGGTATCCGATGTAAGAGCCCTCTAGATGCATGCGCGGTTCGAATGAAGGCCGACCAATTATTAAAACAATAAAAGAACGACAAACCGTGCGTAATTATACTACAACGCAAGTAAAATTTATGTAGAAATAGATAATTCAGATTAACTTCTGAATTACCTATTCCCTATTAGAGGAAAGAAATAATCTGATCTATCATTTTTCAGACACTTGACAGATTAACACGTGTAAGCTTTAAATCAATGTAATGTCTGTATTTATTAACATATCAATAGTATACTGTAATATATATGGTCAGTGAAAAGAACATGTAAAACATCGAAAGATATTTGACAGTATCCGTAGGAAATTCAGAAAAACGACAATTAATATTCAAATATCTCTTTATTTGTATAAACACTTCATAACCTCTAAACCCCTTTCAAAATTCAATTTTATTTAGTTCCGCCCATTGTTTTCTCGCTTAGGACACACGCTTTTTATTACTTGGGGACCATACGCCGCTTTTCATGGAATGGCACGAAAGTGTCACATTGAAGGTTCCATGATATTCGCCGTATGGACACATCTGCGGATGTTTCTAAATTCAAAATTTTACTATTTCATGTTAAAATGTTGAATTCTGCTTAAGCCGGTGCTAGGGGGCGTGGACGGTAACATGCACTTTCCAGTACCGTCCATGAAAAGGCTCAATCAAACCGAGCCTGCAACATTTTCAATTTTGCCGTGTTGGACTTTCTTTAGGGATTCTGTATTTATCTATTTTAAGATATTCAGCGCAACACAGTATTCTAGCTTAAGTACGCTTGGTATGCGTTTTGGCAAGTTCATTCTGTTTAACACCCCTAGACATGTCTTTACACCATTTCAGACCGCCTCCGTGGTCGAGGGGTTACAGTCGATGACTTCTTATCCAGTTACCTCTCTGGCGTGGGCTCGATCCCCGGGAGATGCTTTGGTAGTTGTCTAGTACTGGTGTAACTCTCCAGGAACGATGGTTAGGAAACGACCCGCCTATATGACTGAAATACTGTTGGAAAAAGGCGTAAAATGAAACAAACAAACAAACAAACAAAAACACCATTTCAGCATATGACATGTCTGAAACGCATACATTTTGAATACTACTGTTTAAAATGACTTCTACCATAAATTTAGCTATTCAGCAAATAATGAACAATTGCGATTGACGATTTGATAGTTACGTTTTGTACTCTGTTATGGTAAATCTATTTAAATTTATCGTTGTTATCGTTATCATTATATTTTAGAATGATTAGCAAAAAGATAGAAATTGTATAACAGATGTTTATTTATTAGCTTAAAAATCGAAACGTGCCCTCTGCTCTAATTCAACGCCTATTAAGCTACCGTTTCAAACATTCCTTTTGCTTAACGTTTAGATGAATCTGTTTTTATCTATGATAAGTTTATTCTATTTTGTTAATATATTCCATTGTTGCTTTTTTATATCTACTCTTGTTAAATCGTTTTAATAGTTTCTGCTAATAAGTGAAAGTCTGGTTTGTTTATAAAATAAAAACTCTATCACTCAGAGTATATCAATAACACATAGCGTGTTGTTAGTTAACATAGCTTTGCCGAACCCTTTGTTGCTTATGTATTTATTAATGATTAGTAAATTTCCGTTAAGAAATATTTTATATCTTCTTCTTTAAAGAATATTCTCTATTCAAATAAAACTACTGCACTCAAATAATAAAAAGAATCACCGAAATGATGACACATTCCGCAGTTTAAAGATATAGATAGAATTGACTCACTTTTATAGCATTAAGATTAAGTAGAAATTGCGCTAATAAATTATTTCGGGGAACCCTTGATAAAACTCTCGCTAAATCGTATTTTTTTAAAGTTATATGAAGTAGATCTACCATACAAGAACGAGAATTTTGATGATTGACAAGTCTAATCTTATCTATTTAAACGACACTTGATATATTGACCTTGTAACAGGAAATACTTTGAGGGCTTTCTTAAAACTACTAGTATTAAACATTAATCACGTGCACATTGATTCTTTTTTGTTTCATTTCTAGTTTAAAAAGGTTTTCTAAGTATTTATCTTAAGTTTATCTATTGTAACATGTCGCGGTTGATTTAAATTGGAACAAACACTTTAATTTGAAGATATCATATCATGTGGATATCATTGTTTAATATTACGGACACTTATAATGAGAGTATATAATTAAAAGACCATTGTTCTCTGTAGTGGATGTGTAAGTAAGATGCTTGAAGTTGTGGAAATCCCGTCCTGCTTCATATAAGAAATACGAAGAAAATAGAATAAATAAACCGAAAAATTGTGTCATGTTTTTTATTGGTGGAAATTCGTTTATTGTAAGACCAGATTTGGTCACAAGTGGCTCTGAGTGTAAAACATCTTAAGTAGTTATAAGAAAAGCAAATAGATGATAATCAGGTTAAATAATGACATATATACGGTGGCATATTATTGCCAACAGTTAACCATTTAATTATTGCGTTATCTGTCTAACTAACACGATAAATAACAGATATTTATCAGACTAATTAGATATTTTTCTGTTAGATAGATAAATAACGAGTAAGTATCTTACTTCGAAAAATACCAAAAAGTGCCCTAATGGAAATTTCGCGTAGTAACGCTTTCCCTTTAATATCAACAAAAACGCAGATCTTTTTTATTCCTATCTTTTGTTTCTCTATTTTTTTCTTTCATTTGTCCCTATATGCTATTGAATATCTTTTGATACTTAGAACCTTCGACAATTTTGTCACAGGCAATTTGCATGTTATTGTTATGAAATCTATTAATAGTAACAAATTGCTGATAAGACATACAGGTAACTTGTGGATGGTTAACAAAACATATGGTGACTGATAAAATGCAAAATATAGTGGTTTTACATTTATAATAACAAACTTATTTTTCATAAAACAGCATAAAATTTTATTTCATTAGAAAGGTCTTTAAACTCATATTTTACAAATAAAAAAATAAATTTTCAAAACGTTATCCTTTTTTCTTTTTAACATAATTGTAAGAAAAAACACTTATTATTCGCGTTATATCGCAAATCTGTTCTTGTCCCCCAGGTACACCATATGTTGAATTTTATAGACATGAGAGTATGGGATATATATAAACGTGTATGTCACTGGCTACATCACTTTTGGATCAGTTTTAGAACTTGGTGTAACAAAAAATCGCAGAACATGTACTAAGAAAATGTCTAAATTTCTTAGTTTAAGTATTGGACTTTTATTATCATTGTTTTGTCAGGTAAGATGTGCAAAAGTAAGGTATCAACTGCTGTCAATGCGAATAGACAATGTAATTCGTGAAAACAATAATCTAAAATCTGAGCTTAAGGACACTAAGGCAGTTGTTGATAGACTCGAGAACAAAATCAAAAGTATGGAAGTGAATATCTCACTTATGGCAAGTAAAGCGGCAAGATATGAAGAAGAAAATTCAGAAACTCTGTTAAATGAAAAGATCCATACTTTTGAAAACATATCTGCGTCTCAATTTGAAAAGAAATTTAAGACAGAAGCAATAGTATTGCGGAAAATGCTAGTTAACGAGAAGTCACACATGAGAGACACAATAAGAGAATTTGAACAAAAATTTAAAAGATTTAAAAGAAAAACAAAAAAGAGTTCAAAAAAACTCATAGATAATTTAAGTTCAATGGATACCACTGTTGAAAGTTTAGAAAATTCAATTTCCAAACAAAACATAACAGCAATCACTATGCTAGTAGCAGTAGAGGACAGACTCAAAAGTCAGTTAAAGGACACAGACCTACTCAGACAAGACATGAGTGTAGACTTTAAGAGAAAATTTCGATCAGTCTCGTCAAAGCAAGGTAAAAACAACTATAAATATTTTTTTTTATACCTATACACAATTTGGTGCTAATTAGGCAATTTCAAGTTAAATTTTCACGAAACATAATTCCCGCATGAGTGTTGATTTGCTTAAATGCAGAATGTTTACTGGTATTTTTGTCTTTAGTTCTGTTTTGTCATCAACGCAACATTGTTAACTATTACACAGTCCTGATAAGTCAGCTCCGTGCATGACATTATGAGTAAGATAACTATCCATTGTATTATCCAATGCTGCAAATGATACCACAGAAATTCTTTGTTGTCTTATTTCATTTCTACCGACATAAAAATTATCTACCATCTCCTAATTGAAAAAAAGAAAATATATTCCACGCAAGTTTTCAACGAGATGCATATCAAACAAATTAATATTGCTCGTTTTTCTATAAATAAATCTGAAAAATGATTATTATTAGCTCTAACTGATGAGTTTGATATACATGTGGTAGTAATAAAATAATTAATGTTTTAAAAGACAAGAACTTCATGTTATTTTCTTTGGCACAATGTACTGTCTGCTGATTGGAAGGCCGATGGCGATAACAATCATATTCTTTATATTTTTATCTGTGCCTTGTTTTTTCCGACACGTACGTTTTACACAAGCATGGTCATTGAGTTCAGTTTTTAGCTAGCGGACAATTTGAATGGATACTTGTTGATAAAATCACTCCCACTACTCCCTTAACATGTTTTTTATGTTTCTTTTTTCTGCCCCGTCTTTTTTAACTTTATCTTAGCAGCTTCCAAATATTATCACGCCATGTTATTGTCTACCACCAAGTGCCTTAAGCCATGCCATAGTTGCGTCATGCTCTACCTTAGATAATTCGTGGGCAGTTAAACTGATCAGCCCAAATGACAGATATTTGAATATGAAAAAAAAATCTAATATTTTGTTGTAGAAAATGCATACCGGACATTATACCGTTGCGTAACTTTTTGACTACACAGAGTGCATTTGATACATAATTTATATTATACATGAGCACTTTTATGTAAATTATGCATTTATTTCTATGCTTTATTATGTGAGCAGCTGCATAATTCTTATTGTAAAGTGTATGATTTTAGTAATAATGTAGTTTCTAATAAGTTTTAATTTTGTTTTAAAGTTAAGTGCAGAAGTTACATCTGTTTTCATGAAGTTGCATAAACCTTTGAGCTCAAATGTGCAAACTAATCATCTAGCAGTGACTCAATAGACATAGAAATCTCATTTTTATCCTGTCATATTTTATAGAATTCGTTGCGCCTTTTAGCCTCGATTTTTTATTAGCTGTACATGCCTTGCGTTCTACATTTAATATACAGAAACTGTTGGTTTCAATTTTCTCCTTCCAATTGCCAAGTTCATGTTATCGTAAATAGTCTCAGCAGCTTGGCGGGATCCTACGGAAACACGTTTCCCGCTACACAGTAGCTTAGGTTGTTCTTTTACGGTTTTCATTCATAGGAATGATTTGTGATCAATTTTGTGCAAATAGTGTTTTTTTTTCATTAACTTGATCAGAGCATGCTTCTTGTGTGATATATCAAAATGCATGTATATGGTTTCTTTACCGTACAAATCAAAGACCAAGCTTTGTCATATTATATGAAATGTAAAGTAAGTATTAAACTTGTATAAATACTACATTAAAATGTTTTTTTGTATGTTTGTCTAGCAATATACAGCAGTGTTGTTGTACTTTTGGTTAGTGGACAGATTATAAGGAAATACATGTTATAATAACTTTATGTTGGTTACACCCTAGTACTCTACAATGTAAGCGGAAAACAAACCCGAGACAGTAAATAATCAGTAAGGTCCTCGTGCCATTCCGAGTTTGAGAGTATATTCTTTAGTAAAATAATAAGAAACATATCATATGTATATTTAACCATAATATTACAGACAGACTTGAAGACACATTTTCTGGTCAAATCAGGGCTTTAAGCCAAAGAACATCCGAACAAAACATAACAGCAATGACTACGCTAGAAGCAGTAAGTCGTCTAACCACTGCCGAGTTGAATCTGCAAAGTACATACAGAGATCTAAACAACCGGCTCAAAAGCGCCGAGAGTGAACTTCGATCAGTCTTGTCAAAGCAAGGTAAAACAATTATAAATATCTTGTGTATACTTACATAGAGTTTGGTGCCAATAAAGCAATTTCAAATTAAATTTTCACGAAAAAGAACTTCTGCATAAGTGTTTATTTGCAGAATGCAATTTGTCTACTGGTAGTTTTTGTCTTGAGTTCTGTTTTGTAATCAGAGAAACAGTGTTAACCAGTAAACAATTCTTATATTTAAGCTTTATAAATTACATTATGAGATAACACTGTTGTATGAGTAAATGCTGTTGATGCTTCCTCAAAAAATATTTTTTTCATTTTTACTGACATGAAAATTACCTACAAACTCAAAATTGAAAAAAAGAAAAATATATTCTACACAAGTTTTCAACGAAATGCATATTTAACAAATTAATATTGCTTTTATTTCTGTAAAAGATATCTGCGAATGATAATACTAAGTAGCTGATAAGTTTGATATACTGATTAGTTTGATATACATGTGGTAGTAATATATAAGAAAAATGTTAATATACATGTATATAAATAGTCAAAATCATTACAGAGAGACTGGAAGACATATGTTCTGGTCATATCAGTGCTTCAAGCAGACGAGTCTCTGAAGAGGAAGGTAAGTTCAAAGAACACAAGTGTGTATGTTTTTTGTTTTTGTTTTTAATGGCATTGTGCGTTTTATAGAAGTCCCTATTTTAACATGACATCTACATGTAAAAGCTCTTTATATTTCAATATGCCTTACATCATACATATGGTTTAATAAAAAAGTTAATTGTCACTAATTTGAACCCGCATATGCTTGTTCAAGCGTACAAAATACTACAATACAAAGTTTTGTGAAATATTTTCTATTTTAAATTTTGAGGTTGGGTTAAAGTTATTTTTTGTTTTTTGTTTTAACATTGAACAAATATATATTCTTAGACATCTAAAGCAATGGATTTTGACATCTAAACTTTTATATTATAGTCCTTTCATAAAAGAGAAGAACCGTGCTTCGTACAACGGTAAAATGGGCTGCTTTGTTCATTTGCAGTTACACATTATACTTGATTCTATCTAATGATATAATTACAAGAAAAAAAAAAATCACTATTAACAAACATTTGATACTTTTTAATTTAAATTGTATAATATCAAAACCAAATATACTTGTTTATGTCTTTGCTCAATAAAAATTAATTTGATTCCATTTCAGAAAGAAAGGTTGCATTTTCAGCTAGGATGACTAAGCCAGATAGTTACTATGGCAAGAACGAACGATTAGTGTTTGATTCAGTTATATATAGTCACGGCGGTGGATACAGCTCCTCAACGGGGATATTTACAGCGCCAAAATCAGGAACTTATTTGTTTATTTATAATATAGAGTCAACAGTTGCAGGTAGAGCCGCTGTGGTTTTAATGATGAATGGTAAAACAAAAACTGAAGTTGTAGCAAGAGGCAGCGAAAATGGAGGAAATTCAGGGATTGGTTATGTTCGGAAAGGTGAAAAGGTTTGGATAGAGACCTTGCATTTTGAAAGTAAGTATTACATCTCGCATTACAGGACAACCTTTAATGGTATCTTGATAGACTAAAAAAGTACCATGAATTGCCATATAAACATTATACAGCATGATCAAATGCAAAATGATTATACATTCCCCCTGACCTACACGTTTAATTCAAAGCCTAGCGGGAGCTGATTTTAATCACATTGTAATTATAGATTTGAATTCGAGCTGCAAAGTATCGGTCATTGTTTAATTATAAGATTTTTGTTCAAGTTAAAACATATGAAAAGCAAATAGTGTTTCTATTTAAATACAAAAATATAAAATATTGGTTTTGGCCGTCTTGAATGTGAGCAAAGTAATTCCTGTTCTAAAAAGAATTGGTTCACGCAGAATTAATTTTAAATAGTGGTTGAAATTATATTTCAATATAATCGCTCTTTTTGCCAAATTCTAATACATTTTATAAGCACAAATTTGTCATTTATTTAATACTGTTCCCGTTAAATTAACCACACTCGTACTGTTTAAAGATTTAAAACGTAATTTCAGCCACTATGGTTAGTGTTTGTACAAGCAGCTTTAATTCCATTTATCTATCTCGCAACTGCATCATGCCAGGCAGTTTAATTTTCATTTATGCTGTCTTACAAACAATAACATATACTTAGCCAGGATATTTAGACAAATATATTGCCGAATTCATACAATCATTATAAGGGATTGATGTTCAACTGTTTAAAAAATTGTTCATGAATTTTGTATGTTTTTATAGAATTTCAATTTGCATAATTTTAGCTACATTTAAGTAAAAATGACATTTTCACCTACCTTGTCTTTGTTTTCATTTGCTTAGCTGCTGCCTTATGAAATAAACTCACATCAAAACTGACATCAAAATAATGTTGATGACTTTTCTTGAAAAGAAGTTAATTTATATGGTAGGTAGCAGTATACCTCACGTGATTAAATTATGATATATTCTTATGTGACGTCAGAGAGTAATTATGTGTAAAAAAGTATACCAGCTCTGGCTGGCGTATTAGCTTTAGCGTCACAAGTCCACAAAAAGACGTGTGTACTGAAGGTTATAGTGCACTTATTATACAGACGCCGGCCATTTTTTAACAAATAACTATTGATATTCAATGGCGTCAGTTGTTCCACTCTCAATCTTTCGCTAGGCATTTAGTTTATTGACTTTGTTTTATAAGTGATAAATAAAATATATTTACAGAATAAATGTCTCATTGCTTTATAAACCTTTGACTTGCAGCGGTACACGAACTCTTCAACAAAAAATTAAAATCAAATGCATACATTTTTGTTATTTTTATATGTTATGAAAATCATGGACTTATTATCCGGTCAATAAATAGTTTTTGTTGTTCGTTTTTACCTGAAAAAAGTGCTATATTGATTTAAATTTATATAACTTATAAAATAGTATTGTATGACAAGTAAACATGACGTTTCGGCTCACGAAGCATGCTTTACTGTTCTGAGGAAGTAAGATACGACCCTATCGGTTATTGTTCATTTCATGTTTACCAAAATAAAACAAAATGTGCTTAATTGTTGTTGTTGTTTTTGTGTTTTTTTTGTCGTTGTTGATGATAATGATGTTGTTGTTGGGTTGTTGATGATAATGATGTTGTTGTTGGGTTAGGGGATGTTATGTTTTTTTTTTGGGGGGGGCGGGGGTTGTTGTTTTTGACGTCGGTTTTGTTGCTGTTGTTGTTTTGTTGGTTTTTTTTTTTTTTTTTTTTTAGGAGGCCGATTGAAAGGCCACAGTGGAATTGCTATGCAAAGTTAAGAACAGGAAGGAATGCAATGAGGTTTTACATACCAATTAGATAGAAATGATCTAAATTACAAAAATGATAAAAATTTTTGAAATTGACAATTTCAAAAGTAAAATTTCCACTGTATGGTTTTCGCCTTTTATTATTTGATATATTATTAATATAGCAGGGGCCAATTTTTGGTATGGGCAACAATGCCTATTGCGCAGATACTACATTTAACTACATACGAGACAGTATTTGAGTCATCAAAATAAAAAAACAAAACAACAACAGCAGATCGACAAATAATGCCTATATATCCATCAATAGCATTATTTTAATGTCTTTGACACTATAAAATTTTGTACGACATCTATAATAAGGTTGTACATAATGATGAATGATGAAAATGTCCTTAATACGAGTAACAAATATATATAATGAAATGATCTATTCAATTTTATTTTTGTTCGCCGACATTTACATTGTCAAAGCTTTGATATGCAAAATGTTTTCTTGCTATAACAAAGCCTTAGAGGTACTGCAGACATTGCTGCTCTCTTAACCGTCATCTACTGTTCCATCGCCCTTTTGTTATAAAAGCTGGAGAGATCAAACTTATTTTACTCAATATATTTATAAAGTAACAATTATTGCATTATGGCACTTGCAAATCATCATCACAGCACCATCCTAATAATTCATAATAGATATTAAATGTAAGTAGAAAACAAACGTTATAATATTCATTTCACACCAACAAGAGAATTTAATCTTATTCATTATTTTTGCTATTTCTTAAAAGCAGTTATTCTAAGGAAAGATGGCAAAAAATATATCATAATTATAGTTTACTATCGCGGTAATTGATAAATACGCAACACCCACATCTACACAATGTACATAAATAAAATCAATTATTTTTCTGCCAAATAATGTTTGCCATGGTAAATATTGAATCATGTTAAATAAATAGAAAATGCCGAGACCGAACAATATGTTAATGTTTACGAAAATGTAACTTTCGTTAAGAAGAATATTTTTACCAAAATTACCACTTGATTGATGAAAAAGATAAATAAAATTTACAGTTTTTGCGTGTTCTTTGGAATTTCTGGATTTTGTCTCTATATTATTTGTAAGTTGTGGTTTTTGACATTCTTTCCGACATACATTTTAAGTACAACATAAAGTAAAACAAATCAGAAAGTCTGACAACTCTCGGAAGCATTTATAACGAGACTCGGGTTGATTGAGTCTGTATATGAGGGATCATGTGCAACGTCCCTCACGCCCTATAACACCGACTTAAGCGGTACTCAATTTTCAACACAAATGTTGGAATCAATGATCCCAAAAAACCAGAAAAAAATATTACAACACTGAAGTTAGTCCGATTTATGAGAAAAAAGGGCAATTTTATAATTCAATTGAATAAAGTTGTTTAAAGTACATAAAGAAAAGGATAAAAGTAGCATGAATGCATAAAATGAAAAACGTAACAAAACATTTCTGCCCATCCCTGTCGAAAATACATATATTGTCAACAATGTGTCTTACTTAGTGCATTTAGTTAAACTAAATATATTTACATAAATCTGCCCATAACAGAAATAAGTCTTGTCAAAACAACGATTTCTTTCAGAAATAAATCACGGTAATGTTTGGTTATGTGTAATCAATGCAAAATAACACCATTGACAAACTGTGATTATTGACACTGAAATAAAGGTGTTTTATTTATTTTGGCAAGCCTCATGCCGACGAAGGAGATATATCAGCAACATAGTAGACAAATGATAAAAGGCATTGTTTCTTTTTTAGAAATGTTCTATAATTTTAAATCGAATTAACGAAATAAATTTATTTTTGCTGAAGCTATTCAATTTCAATTACCATGCGTCAAGCATAATGTCTGACATTTTGTAATTTTTTTTAATTTATTTTATTGAGAACAGACAAATGTTTGCAAGCCGAGATATCCCATAAAAACAGAATCGTACGTGTGATAAATGGCATCCTTAAGAAAATAGACTAACTCGTACATACGGGAATGTGTTTTAGGAATGTCGCCTGTCAGGTTTTTAAAATATTCAGATGCGAAAAAGAGATCTTTACTTTGTATATTTGTCAGATATTTGAATAATCAAATTGTGTACAGTCACTTGAAATACAATTTGAGGAAGTAAAAAATCTACGTACTACAAACAATATTGTAGAATAACTGTATAATTGTACAAAACTTTTATTATATGATACGTCACGCAGTAGTTTGTAAACCTATGATTGTTCATTGAATTTGGTCTGTCGGAGGGTAAATCCGTCAAAATTCGGACAAAATTTGGACTCGTTCATTCGATTGCTTATTTTTCACAAACCGTTCAGCCCGATTTATGCAATGTCGGCTGATATAAAGTTGAAAGCCCCCCCCCCCCGATTAGAAGAAACTATAATGAATTCAGCGATATTAACCATAAAAGGTTTTATGATCCTATGTAGATTCGCTAAAATTCGGACAGTGTCGTATAAAGTCGGACACGATGAGGTGAAAATTCGAACAGAATTATTTTAGTTGTTTTAATTCGGACATACATTTGTGTTTTTAAAATAAAATGTACATTTTAGATTCCATTACGTAAAAGAGTTTAAGAAAAAGAATACACACACTTAACTCCATTTAATTCATGAGATTAAAATATATTATTGTGTGAGTTTTCATTCAACACGTACAATTATGTACATGATGATGTAACGTTTATATATAATACATCATTTTACTTGTTTTCCTTTTTAGTTTTAGCAGCCTTATTGTTTGCCTTGGTTATTGTTTTTATTGAACAATTTTTCCCGTTGTAGTATTTCGTCACTTGTAAGCAGTGTATGACTTGTTTTTTGACCGGTCTTTCAGTTCTATATTGATTTGGTCTTGATTCAAGTTTAGGGGGCATAAAGGCACTTTCAATGAGATCTGACGTGCTAGGATTGTTAGAACAATCAATTTCCATCAAACTTATATCATTTGTGTCATTTTTATGAAAAGGTTGTGGCTCAACAAAAAGATTGCCAGAGGTTATAAGCTCTAGTAGCTGTGTCGGATCACTTACGTCTAACACAGGAAGTGCCATTTCTTCGACAGAGTCGCTCGTGATTGCTGTGCTGGAGATATCCACATCTGCTGAAAGTACGGGTTCTGTATTTGATAAACCTGTATGCAAAAAGAAATATGTGATTTCAGGTTTTACACGTACCGTTTGAGATCACTTTTCTTATACTATTTCTTTACTTTTTCTAATTTCAGCAGCATATCATGAAAATTAGCAGATTGATTAACATTTTATACCTTCTAATGCCAGACTGTTATCAGCGGTAGAATAAGCTTGGTTGGCTGTGGAATCCCCGATCGACTCTTCTCTGTTTGAAGTATCTAAAAATGTTGAAATAAGATTAAATTAAGCCAGATTTCAATGTAAACAATTACAATATTAAAATAATGTAATAGTCAAAAACAGATATATTTACGAGATTGGTGTCTGAGTGTTATTTGTTTTGTTTTTTAATTCCTTGAAGGTAAAGTAAATCTACCCTTATTTTATTCAGACGGCTATTTGATATATTTAATAGCAAATAGTACGAGTTGTCTGCAAATAAATTGCTTTTAACACTGCTGTTTGAAGGGTTAGGGCACGAATTCCAGTCTGAACTTAAATATTTAATGAAATTTACACAATGATACAAAATGCTTACTGAATTGAAACTATAACATGTATATCAGGTTAAGAAATATTATGCATGGACTGCGACTCGGATTTGAATCTATATATTGTATAAACATTTTATGCACTTATAGTTATTCAGTCAAACGGTTGCTGAGCCTATCAAGTCTATTTACCAAGAACATTTGACTATCACCTACCGTTTGTAAATGCTACGTCAGTTGGCGAACTCGGTTTGAAGGCAGTAGATGGCACAGCGTCTTTGTTAACAGGACAGATGCCACACGAAGCAAAACTACTTTTGATATTGCTTATGGTTAGTGCGGCATCCCACGCTTTACTGAAAAGAGCTAGAAAAGACCAATTGTTAACAACATGCAATGGGTGTTAACTCATGAAGTTGGAGTATTGCTCATTATAAGCGTTTTTCAGTGGCACAAACACCGTTCTGTCAAGTGGTTGAAGATAATGGGTGCAATGGGGAGGCAAAGAGAGTAAAGTGATGTTTTCCTCAATTGCTCTTTCAATGATGGCAAACGACTCATGTGACGGATGACCGTCAAAAATTAAAAGCTGTGGTCGGGTAGGGTCACAGTATTTTAGAAAAACCTCATTAAATAGATAAATACAGAATCCGTAAAGAAAGCCCAACACGGCAAAATTGAAAATGTTGCAGGCTCGGTTTGATTGAGCCTGTTCATTTTTCTCCAATGTCATCAGTAATCCATCTTTTGTCCTGGAATGTCCAAACTGTGCCAGCAGGAGCATCGCTGGTCTTGTACCCGTTAATTGACTTGGCAGTTTTCCCTTTTGTGATTATAAGCGGAGGCATGGCCGATCCTGCTCCGTTTATACACGCCATAACTGTAAAGTTGCTTGACTTCTGACTAGTCTTACTGACTACGGATTTGATTCCTTTTTCTGCTACTTCTTGACTTGTGAGTGCTCAAAGTCAAAACCCGTCTCATCACAGTTCAAAATAGTACAATATTGGAACTTGAATTCAGACACAAGCTTAGCAAGATCTTTAAAGTACTTGCTCACCACTGTCTCGTTAAACATTCGAGACCTTACA